TTACCTATATCCGAAGCAAAAAAAAAGGATTTATTAAATTTGGTTAAAAAAAATATTATACCAGAAGAATTGGAGCCTTGGTATAAAAATCTAAAGACGGTTATTGTTCCTGAAGAGGCTGAAGAGAAGGATGAGATATCTTGCGAGGAAACTAATACGTAATTTCCTTTACTTTTATTTTTCTTGATAATTCTATTTAAGTGCTATTTTATCTACAGGGTTCAACTGTTTAAACTTAAGACAGCTTACAATAAATAAAATAAATATCGCCTATTCGTTTTTTTATTGTAATAATACCCAAAAAATTGACAGGTAAAAACAGATAACTGAGAAAAAAATAATTTTACCGCCTTAATAAGAATATTATTTCAATTTATTTTAACATCATCTGATTTAATGCGGGACAGAGAACTGTTCCTAATCATAGTAGGTAAAGATTAATGTGTGTTTAAGAGATTTACAGCTCTTTTACGTATTTCAGGTAAAACAGAATAACTGCAACACCTTCACGGCAACTTTCCCCTTTTTGAAACTTTTTATGACAATTAATGCATAAATTAATGTATCAAAACAATCTTAGATAATGTATCTGAGTACAAGTAGTGTAAATTTTATGTAGTTATGCTTCATCGTTGACCTATGATCATCCAAAACTTTAAATGCCTTTTTCTCATTTTAACGGTATCGCTACTTATCTGGTTCTCCCAGAATACCCTCGATATATAATATCGTCGGTTAAATTTGAAAACCTCTACAACCTCGTTTTTGGACGAAATCTCTTTTTTACTCTACAAAAGCAATATCGGGCAACTAGAGCTTAAAATATTATTTGTAGACCTTTTTAAGTTATAAACTAAATGTATTTCTAGTAACTCTGTTTTTTGTGCCTACTCAAAAGTTCACGGTAATGGAAGGTACGTGGTTTTTTTATAACATCAAGTGACAGGACTAACAAATCGTGTGCCTGATGGTAAATCACAGAGCTTTAAATCGCAAAGATCTAGATCTAGAACAGGTTTACGAAGGTGACGATATGCAGGACAACCACACATTGGTATCTGTACTCATAGAGTAACATGAGTCACTCCGGGGCTACTGGAGAATGAACCTGAGAATTTCTCATCCAGCAAACACTAGACCTCCTTGTGAAAGAGTTCGTCCAGGGAAGTACTGCTACCTTACCTATTTCTGCCGCCAAGCAGTAATGTCAGCATTACAGTGTTCCGGTTTTGAAGGGTAAGGGTGCTGGTGGCAGGCACATGAGACTTGTCAACTTCCGTCTCCCTCAGTGCATTCAAATCTTTGCGATTTAAAGCTCTGGGTGGCACTGCAACTGTTATGCACAGGCGTGTAGCTTAGGATCAGGCGCACGACTTGATCGTCCCGTCTCATAATATTATTTAAAAAATGCGTACCGTTGAACCACGGAGATCGTCAAATAAAATGTACGTGTGGCTCACTATATACTTAGAAATACCAACCATGGCAAATTCTAGTTAAAAATAACTCCGGTTATCTTAATTGCTTAAATGAGCACGATTTTTCCAATAACTTTTGTAGGAAAAATCCATACAGGAAGTCAATCATTAAACTTAAACCAAACAATATACTAGTACATAAGGTAATATAATATTGACTTTACTTTGAAGAGACAGATGTAGCTATGGCTAGGATTCAAAAATAATTCATCTAAAGACATTTCAGACCTTTACAATTCCTCCTTTGCCATCCCATGTAATCCATTGGAATGTAACGCTATCATTTGGAACCCCGTCCACCACAACCACACACAAACATTAGAAAAAATTCAAAAGACATTTGCTAGAAATTTATACAAGAAGATGTACGGATATTACTCCTTAACTTATATTTTTCGACTGGTACGGGGAATAATAATATACAACCCATTTTTGTTGACCAAGATAGGCTCATAGAATGAGGTTATTTGCAATACCTATCACGCGATGTAGAGTGAGTGAGATGGCCCCTCTGCCCCGAGCACTTAAGTACCTAAATCAGACTCTTAACTTTGACTACTCGTTGGACCTTTTCGCATGCTCAGAGTCAAAATTCATGTTTTCCGCAGGACGCTATCTGGAGTCCTTGACCAGGGACAGCAGTATTATGTAATAGGTATTATATGCTAGTTTAAAATGTAATCATCAATTTTCATATTTTGTTCAATATTGTAATTTACTTAATACTGTTTGTTCATTTAGCTTGCGTTCGGTATAATATGTAATAAATAAATAAATATACTAGAGGTATGCGTACCTCATCTGCAAGACGCGGCCTTCACTCCAAATCTTGTGATTTCTTATGACCTCTGTGCTGGCTTTTTCAAATGGCCAGCTTAATATATCTTAGGGTGATAAGCGCAGTGGCAGTGCCCCTCAGATCTTTGTGATTTTAACCTGTTTGCGGCATTGCAACTGTTATGGACTACCAGACGCACGACTGGTTCATCCCGTCAATTAGTATCATAAAAACATGTAATTAATTTAATTAATATATAATATGCATTTTACCCAATCCTGAATCCAGGAATAATGTCATTATTATAATGACTGTAAATCACATCAATGGTAGGTTATAATCATACGTACGGTTTATATTTTCCTACTTTGAATATTCTTAGTTTATGATTGTTATGGATCCACGACTTGCTCGTCCCGTCACGTGATATTACAAAAAAAAATTAAAAAAAGGTTCAGAATGTGCGACGTATCATGACGATGTAGCACACGTCTTTATATAGACCTTTGGTGTAGTCAGTGGCGTAGCGTGAGGGGTGCAGAAGGCGCCTTGGCCCCGGGTGGCACAGCAATGGGGGCGGCTGTGAGCCCGGCTAACTAACTAGTCAAAATATTTTTTTTACTTAAAATTAAAAAATAAATAAATTACACAATATGAGAAAACGAGTTACCTATCAGAAGTCCAAAATGACATTTTCCAGAAACGACGTTAGCTCGAATTTTCACAATTCTCCCTCTATGGTCGAAAGTAATTTTGAGTGGAAAATGTTTTTTCTTTTAAACCTAACTGTTTTTTTCGTGTCTGTGATAAACATCCAACATATCCTGAAAAAACAACAGTTTCGTTATAATTCGTTTTCGGGGCAATGAAAATTCGAACAAACGTTAACGTCGAAAAAAATAAATTCAATTTTGTGATACGTTACCGTGAAAACGAACATAAAAACGGCATGCGAACATAAAAACACAATCGAACCGAGCTTGCATTAACGAACTACTTTTCTAATCGCGAAAATAGAGAAAAAAAGAAAGAGAAGAAAGAAAGCAGAAATCGATGCGACGCCGATGGATACAGTGTCCCGTCTATGTGGCAAGGATTTAACAAACTTTCGCTGTAGCGACCAATCGATGTAACGTTTTTGATGTAAAGACCATCGATGTTACGACTTTCGATATTGTGAATCAGACCGTGCACACGGGCGCAGGGACCAAGGTGGCGCCGAGCGCGACGCCTCCAAAGAGCCTGTGTCACTTGCAGCGAAGTAAACGGACTATTGCTTCCCAACATCATTTATAATTACGCCGTTTGCACCCGAATCGGAAACTGGGGAAACTATAACTGTATGTTTTCCATTTTGATTGCGTGCCTACTAGAGAGCGCCAAGGTAATGAACTAGTAGGCACTAGCCCATGGGCTAGGCCCGGCGCTGCTCTGCCTTCACGCCGTCATGACAGCCAAATACACAAGCCAATTTAACGTTACAAAAATTATCAAAATAATGAAGCGTTCTTTCGAAAATCTGGTCGGTTATTTAATTTTTTTATTTGAAAATCAAAAATTGATGGACTCACTTTTTTCTTAAATTCTTTTTATTCCCTACTAAATAAAGATTTGTCGAGCGGGTAGAGATTGATTTTGCATTATTGATAATAATAATAATAATTTAATTGCATAAAAACAATACGCTACACAATATGCATAGTGCACATTAAGAAAGTGTCAAAGAGTAACTTTTTATTTAAAAGAAACCGACTTCAAAAGTTTGCTTATCAGTTTTTTTATTGAAATTACAAGTTCAGTCAGTTGATAAGAACATATCGTCGGTGTTATGTAAAAAGGGTGAAAGCGCCATTTCGAAAAATTGTTCAGGGAACCGTGTTTCAGTTTCTCACTATATAATATATTATGGTAGCTGGTACTTAAAAAATGGAAAAACCTGTGCTGGAAATACTAGTAAGCCTTCCAAGGGCGTAGCAAAATACACAATTGTCTTTATTTTATAATACGCACTATGCGAAAATGATATATACCAATGCGATAGTATAATAAGAAAAATAGTGATTGATGGAGACAGCGAATATGTGAAATTTAATTAATCAAAATCGATTAATATTTTATTGATATAAAATTATAATTAATACAGTGAATAGCGACATCTCTCGCCAGGACTGGTAGCTGTAAAAGTACTAACTGGGTGATAAATCTGTCATAGATTTCTCATAGATGGCGCTACGACTAAAAAGTCGTTGAAAAACCAAGTACAAAGACACGACGCAAGCACATAGAAAAATTCGTGAGGTCTGTTGGTTCGTTCCGTGGCTTAGTTGGTATAGCGTCTGGCACGGTATGCAAGAAGACGTCGGCTCGAATCCAACCGGATCGAAGGAATTTTTTGAAGGAGTGTTTTTTCTGAGTGTTCGATCTTTGTATTAATAATTATAATCAAAATCGTATATAATGTGTGGAATTTCAAATGAAACCAACTGTTGAGATCGGTTGATCTCTTTGATGTGTGGACAGTCACCAGCTATAATGTAAGTCACTAAATAAAATGTGCTACGTGTAACAATTATATGTATTCGACAAAATAATGAAGAAAACAATTAGACAAGCGTTCCACAAAAACTTAATGTGACATATTAGTCGTGCTACTTAGTTAATTATACCTTAATTGTAGTCTAAATTGCTCATATCTGAAGTTTTGACTGCTTTAGTTCCAAACAATTCACATTCGAGGTAACACGATGCATCTTTTAAACATCGGTGTAATATTTGCAATTTTTACAAAGTGCTCTTGCGAAGTGGATTTTAGTGATAGACCAAGAAATTTCAGTATTGAGCTGATCCATTTCACTCAACTGGAAACTGATGGACATATTGTCATTTCACCTTTTGGAATCTGGACTCTTATGATTGGTGTTGCACTAGGAGCCACGGGAGAAAGCTATAAACAACTAAGCCGAGCTTTCATACTGCCAAGAAACGAAAATGAGTTAATAGAAGGATATAAGAAGCTCACCGAAACGGTGTTGAACCCAAAAACTAAAGGAGTTACATTGACGAGTAAGAATTATGTGTTTTTAGACGATGATTTTGTAATATATCCCCAGTTTAAACAGATGGTTCAAGAAGAGTTCGACGCTACTGTTAAGGTTTTTGATTTCGACAATCCAAATGCAGCCGCTAAGAAAGCAAATAGTTACATAAAGAAAACTGGAGGTGGAAGAATGACTAATGTTCTAACATCTGAAGATTTTGCTGAATCCAGAATGTTAATAACAAACGTCATATCTTTCAAAGGACTGTGGAATTCACCGTTCAACAAATCGGAAACAACAGTACAACCTTTTTACAATGAAGACATGGAAAAGATAGGTGAAGTGAATATGATGTATCAAGTGGCTCCATTACCATTCTCAAACGTACGTGATTTAAAAGCTTTTGTATTAGAACTCCCTTATGGAGATGACGACAAATATTCGATGTTGTTCATTCTTCCGCACAGAAATGTGAAGCTAGCGGATGTATATCAAAACTTCGCCAAAATAAGTTTAAAAGATGTACAACAAAAACTCGAAGACGATATAAAAAGAATGGATTTGGAAGACATACAAATTGAAATACCTAGATTTAAGATAAGTACAAATGTCGCTTTGAACAAGCCTTTGAATAATATGGGTGTTTTTGACATTTTTTACCCTGAATTAGCTTCTTTTGAAAAAGTGACTAGTGAAGATATATTTGTGTCAGCTGTTATACATAAAGCAGATATAGATGTAACAGAATCTGGTACAGTTGCGTCAGCATTGACTACAGTTCATCTTGCAGATAGAATAAGTACACCTAAATTTACTGCTAATAGACCTTTTTTGTACTTTGTTATAGAAAAAACGACAACAACTGTTATCTTTGGAGGAATTTATTCTAAACCTACTATTTACTAAACTATGTATATGAAATGAATAAATTAATTGTTTTATACGTTGAGAAAATAAAAAAAATATATATTGTACTAATGTATGTGATGTGCTTTTTAAGTTGCTCACAGATAACGATATTTAAAAAAAATAAAACGGAAATATTACCAAAATCGATGGGAACGAACGAACAAAAGCGGTGTGTCTCTGGGGCGCGTGATGGGACATTATATTTCAGATATAAAATTCGTTTATTATCATTTTATGTCTATTTTTTTTTTGCCTTTATTTAAAATATTGAAGGTTTTTTTCACACAGTGAATATGCCACCCCTATCGTTCTGCGTTACATTGCTACCGTCTACTGATACACTTATTTACTAATTTATATAGTGCTTTAGCCACGTCCGATGTGGGCGAGGAAAGGATGCTATTAAAGGTACCGACATTGACTCGATGGAGGTTCAGGAACTGCATGAAAAACTGGCTCCGTTCTGCTTCGACCCGTGCACATTCCGCCATCACATGGTAAACGTCCTCTACGCGGTCACACTCTTCGCACTTAGGAGAATTTATTATCCTCATTAGGTATTTAAAACTATTTAGTGGAATATGCCCAGATCGAAGCCTATGAGCCATGACAATGGACTCCCTACTTAGACCAGTACCCGCAAACCAGGGACCCCGCGATAGACCAGGTTGTATTGTTCTGTACCATATTCCTTTACTAAGTGATCTTTCGTCAAAATGCTCCTTCCATTTTTCTCGGCACAACTTTTTTCACCGAATCCAATCTTTCTGAAAAGTATGGTAAACAAAAAAATTGTACGCCTTCAGATATTGCACTTCGCGCCAAGGAGTCAGCTCGTTCATTTCCAACTATACCGGTATGCGATGGTATCCACTGGAGCATCACTTTTTTGTTTTGTGTAGTCAACTCATACATGGATTGAATAATGTTGTAAGCTATCGGTAGGCCTCATATTGACGAGGCACATCGAATCACATGTTGTAGCGCGCTCTTCAAATCAGTCAGAATTACAAAATTACTATAATGTACATCAAGATGTTTTCATCATTTTTTCATCAAGATTATTTTTTATTACATTCCTTAGTGGAGCTCCTTATGAAAGAGCTCATCCAAGGAAGTACTTTCCACCTTAGCTATTTCCACCGCCTAGCATAACGTGAGCATTATTGCATTCTGATTTTGAAGGGTGCTGGTGAAATTACAGGCATATGGGACTTGTCAACTTATGTCTGAGGGTGACAGGCGCTGTGCCCTTTAGATCGTTGTGTTATAAAGCTCCGAGTGGCACTACAACAGTCACGAACGGGCGTGTCGCTTACCACCAGGCGCACGACTTGTTTGTCCCGTCATCGTCATTTGATGTCGTAAAAAAAGACCCAAATGACACGATGAAATATTCTCAGTACAGAGTACTAAAAAACCGACCTCAACAGTCAATTCAGTTTGAGTTATCACGTAACATACAATCAAAATAAAATCAAATTGAGAACCTCCTCCTTTTTTAAAAACAGTTAAAAGTTCGCTAAGAATAATTGCTAATTTATTGACTTAGGCGCTTCAAGTATTTCTATAACGAAATAATATATTTGTTGTTATATCCATCATTACACACCCATTTATATAACTATACTATGGTCAACTTAAAGATTTGAAGATAGTTTGGGACCCCCATAATGTCACCATTTGGGACACCAAGTGACGGAACGAGGAAGTCGTACGCCTGGTGGTAACTGGTAAGAGACACGCCGACCCATCTTCTTCTTATCGTATGGCATAAACTAATGCTTATCATCGTGGTAAAAGATTTGCCAATCAGCGTAAGGTACTCGCCGTACGCCGTAGACGTACAGGGCAGGCATCAAAGCTGTAAATCGCGTAGGTATAAGGGGCGCTGCCACTGCACCCGTCACCCTGAGACATAAGTTGACAAATCCCATGTGCTTATACTGCCGCCCGCTAACTAAAACTCGGCTAGGTGAAAAATTTTTTTTGAGATATCATAAAAAACCACAACCCAGATTTAGAATATTGAAATTGTTTAACGATCTTTCAGCTATGCATCGTTAGGGTAAGTTCCGCTAAGTCGGACACGTTCAGGACCTCTCGCTACCGAGCGTGGTTGCCGCCATGCTCGATAGCCCTGGGAGGCGGTGGCTTCCTTTTGCGCAGAGGTTATGTCGCAAAAGGAGGCCGCGGAGCGGGTGCGCGAGGACGCGGCGGACGCGCACCCGCTTCGGCGCAGACGGACGGGGAGAAGGCGAAGGCAGTTCGCTGCTCGCCTGATCCCCTAGTGAGGCCAGCGGGCTCTGGACAGGGACTCCGGAGCCTGCATTGCACGGCCTCACTCGTCTGGGGGGCGGGTCGGAGGACAACCGACTCGCCCCTCCGTTGGCGCGGGAGCCCTGGCGCCAGCTAGGGCGGCCGGGCGGCGTCGTGGTGAATGTTCACCGATCCCACGGCGCCGACTCAACCGGCGAGAGGGAAACCCGGGGGGGTTTTAGTGGGGTAGTCCCTCAGTTTGGAGGGAGAGTCCCCACATAACCCCTGAGTCTCCCTGGGCTCAGGGGTATCCATAAAGATTTCCCCCCCGTCAAAAAAAAAAAAAAAAAAAAGTCGGACACGTTAACTAATTTTAACTGTTTTTAAAAGAAAATATTGTGTTCTATTGACTATTTGTCACTTACCTGCATATTAGTTAGTGAAGTATAATTTCACTAGCACCCTTTGCCCTTCAAAACCGGAACACAGTAATGTTCATATTACAGCTAGGCGGCAAAAAGACATGTTGCCAGTAGACGGCTTTAGTCTTGATTTCACTACGTGATAAAACCACCTATCAAAAATTCTCAACATGATTCATGCAAGCTAATTATAAACACTATGATACAAAAAACCAGTACTTATCAATGTCGTTAGACGAAGTGTAGGCAGAGTTGTTTTTGAATACTAACTACGAATTGAAAGATGTTTGGGAAGTACATGGGAAATACAAATAGGTACGGATTTCGTATTTCAATTAGGTACTACCTAAAAAAAAATTAGGGCTACCTAAAAATATATTTGCTAATTGTTATTTATAGTTGATTAATGGTAAATATTTATTATATTTGCGCCTGATGGCAAACGACATGCCTGTCCATAACAGTCGCAGTGCCACTCAGAGCTTGAAACTGCAAAGATCTATATAAGTTGAAAAGTCCCGTGTGCCTGCAATTTCACCAGCACCCTTGCCCTTCAAAACCGGAACGCAACAATGCTCACGTTACTGCTTGGCGGCAGAAATAGGTGAGGCGGCAGTAATTTCCTGGACGAACGCTTTCACAAGCTCTACTGCTACTAACTATTGTATTTTGTACTGCAAACAATTGAGATCAAAATAACGTATGTATTTTGCATTTTCATACGCCTCGAAATGAAATTATATTGAAGTAGTATGAAAGTATGTTGTGTTTCGTTTTTTTTTTAATACTAAGGATATTATAGTATATAATATTTTAGTAGCACTAAAGTTCCTTGTAAAAAAGTTGGTCCAGGAAAGTACTGCCACCGTACTTAGTTCAGCCGCCAAGCATTGCTGTGTTCCTGTTTTGAAGGGTAAGGATGCTAGTGAAATTACAGGCACTTGCGACTTTTCAACTTATGTCTCAGAGTGACGGGCGCAGTGTCAGTGCCCCACAGACCTCTGAAAAGCTGTGAGCGGCACTGCATCTGTTATGGACTACCAGGCACACGACTGGTTCGTCCCGTCACTTGGTGTTGTAAACGTGTAATTTATCTAAAATTTTAATTAAGATATAATACGTATTTTACCCAGCCCTGAATGTAGGTATTTATTATTATAATAATGACTGTAAATCACATCAATGGAAGGTTATAATCATACGTGCGTTTTACATGAATTTTCCTGCTTTGAATATTCTTAGTTTATGATTGTCACGCATCCACGATATCTTTATCTTTTATTTTTCAAAAATAAGGTTTGAATATGACATGCTGTGCGGGAGAAGCATTTAAAATTATCTGTATGGGCTCTGACTAAACAATGTATAATAAAACGTGTAAGTTAGCATAAAAATTACCATAATATGAAGGATTTTTGTTTTGGAATGTTATTTCGACAGAGCAAATCAAAGGTGGTTCACCACATGCAAATATAATTGTTTTAAATAATCATATATTTTAAAAGTGAAAGTAATTTTGTCTGTTACGTACAAAATTTTGATGAATTTTGGTATAGAGATCAGACATAGAAGAAGGACATAGGCTACTTTTTGTCACAAAAATAAATCTTAAAGGGGGTGAAATAGGGGATGAAAGTTTGTATGGAGAACCAATCATTACATATATATAACGTCGCGGACACCGGCTAGTATGTCATAATTATCAAAATTTTGCTTTTCAGAATTGAACAGTCAGTTATGCAACCTGGGATTTAATTTCCATTACCGAAAAGTACACACTGGACAGACTTCTCCCGTGGTAAAACTAAATAGATTCTAACTATTCAGTGTAACAAGCAAATTTGACTTAAATTGTTATCTCTGAAACTAGGACAATGGCAATGGATTAATTACGGAAAACACACGTTAATGTAATAAGTTACGTGAATTTGGGAAATACCAGCTTAACTGTACTTGTACGTAAATACGAACACGACCTGTTTCTTGTAAAAAAAACAAGCGTCGAGGAAAAATAATGTAAACAATCCTTAAACACTGTATATACGACTTAGAATTGCATGGAAGTCCTTCAAGTATATATCGTATTAATAAAATGGTTGGACGGGTTTTGTCATCCGCATAATAATGAGTGCCTCAGTTTTGAACGCGCCACGGTCGAGGCCAGTCGCCATGTATACCGCCATCCTATTGTTTACCATCATATCAACGTGTAAGTGCGATGTGGACTTTAGTGAAAGGCCAAGAAACTTTAGTATCGAACTGGTGCACTTCACCCAATTGGAAAGCGATGGTCATGTCGTGATTTCACCCTTCGGAATATGGTCACTTATTACTGGAGTAGCCTTAGGAACAACTGGAGAAAGCTATAGACAGTTAAGCCGAGCTTTCATATTACCGAGAAGCCCAAACACGTTGCTACAAGGATACAAAGCTTTGACTCAAGTTGTACTTAATCCTAATACGAATGGAGTAACTATGACGAGCAAGAATTATGTGTTTTTGGACGATGATTTTGAAATCCATCCAGCATTTAGAAAAATTGTACAAGATGAATTCGGAGCGGCTGTTAAAGTGCTTGATTTTAATGACCCAAGTACAGCGGCAAGGATTGCAAATAATTATATAGTTAATTCAGGGGGCGGTAGAGTCGCCAACGTCTTAAAATCCGACGACTTCGCTGAATCAAGAATGATATTGACCAATGTGATATCTTTCAAAGGACTTTGGAGTTCGCCATTCAACAAATCTGACACAGCGAGAAGACCTTTCTACAATGAAGATAAGGTGATAATAGGAGAAGTGAACATGATGTATCAGAAAGGCGCGTTCCCATTTTCAAGTATCCCACAGTTGAAAGCTTTTGTTCTCGAATTACCGTATGGTAATGACAATAAGTATTCCATGCTTTTCGTTTTGCCACACAACAACGTGAAAGTAGTAGATATGTACAAAAACTTCGCTACAGTGTCTCTTAAAGATATTCAGCAAAAATTAGCAAGTGACGTTGAAGATTTTGGCCTAGTGGATATTGAAGTGCAAATTCCAAGATTCCAGATTAGTACAAACATTGTATTGAATAAGCCATTGAATAATATGGGTGTTTATGATATTTTTGAGCCTGACAGAGCCTCGTTCCAGAGGATAACCGACAAGGATATCTTTGTTTCAGCTATTATTCATAAAGCTGATATTGAAGTAACTGAACCTGGAACGGTAGCATCAGCTGTAACTACTGCAATTTTAGCAGATAGAATATCATCACCTAAATTTGATGCGAACAAGCCTTTTGTTTACTTTGTAATTGAAAAAACGACGTCTACAGTTATTTTTGGTGGCATTTATTCTAAACCTACTGTTTATTAATTTTTTGCGTCTTCAACGCCCTATGCTAAAAAATGCGTGTTTTATACTACACCTTATATGACTCATTTTCGTTTTAGGTAACTAATTTGATGAATCAGATTGAGATGAAGCACGGTGGCTAATTATATATATATATAAAGGCGTAATTGATCTGTCAATTATTTTATACGTAAATGTGATAGAAGATTGTGTTAAGTCTATACACGTGTTATAATGATTAATTACTTCGAACGAATAGTTCTATAAGCAGCATATAAAGAAACCTTTTAAAATTTAGTGGTTTTATATTTCAAAGAAAATATGCCTATGGAAATGAAACTATTTTTCCGGATTTAAATCCGGAAAAATAGTTTCATTTCCTATGTGTAACAATCGCGAAAACCTAAGAACTCGATAAATATGCCTATGGATAAGAACCAATTGTTTTCTATTTTATTTTTAGAAAATGTAGTCATTCGATTACTTACTCATGCATATTGTATTGACTTTACGAAGTACTCAAGCAAATACTTAATATTGTAAATGTTATAACTCTTATATCTTAGTTGAAAATATTTGAATAAACGTTTTGTAATCTTCCTAATGTGCCTTCCTTTTATTAAAATAAACTAAAATTATTTTACTCCACTTTAATTAGGTATCCATAACTTTTTTATGCCTCATGGTAATGTCACATGATACCTATCAAGGTATCATAGAAAAACATAGTAATACATATTAATAATACGAGTACCTTACGTGAATCAGTTGTCTTTATTTATAAATGGCATTTGAATGCATATCAACGATTTTTCATTGTTTAGTTGATTGTGCGTTATATCAGAGTTGTCATAATTACTGTTTATTACCAAACATCACACAACACTTGAGCTACGGCTCAAGATGAAGACTTAATTGTTCAAGTTCAGGGTCCTGATCGTTTGGGTTGGTATCCACGTGATAATGATAATAGTCTAATGAGGTCTGAAGAGGTTATGACGCACCCAGAAATATGAGCAGCATCTCAGCCGGTAGGCATTTACTGTAGGACTTGGAACTCTTTATTAATACGTGCTTCAAAACTATTTAACATTCCGACCCCGCGCCATTTGCTGCACATTTAGTACCGAGCGCCACCAATAGATGGCATTACCTGTATCCTTCAGGCACACGAGCAAAGTGTTAACATAGGATTAGCGAGGTGTTTTGAGTATGGTATCAATCAATCAATCATTCAATCAATCAATTTATTTATTTGTCAGAATAAGGTACATTATAAGCTGATCTTATTTTAAATAAATTCAACTTATTCTACCATAATTGGCATGGTAGAATAAGTTGGAGTAGCATGGGTTAAAAGTCTTCAGCTTGCCCTTTTGTCCGGTATCAAGGCCATCAGCGACCAACTGCAAAAATCATTCACAAAAAAGGGTATGGTACCGGCATTGACCTAGATTAATGGGTATCGGACTCGAAATCCAGAGGGGCACGTCACTGGTTCTTGCTATGTGGGACTGCTGACTGTAAACCCTATAAACCAACCTAGGAAATCTCTATAACGTTGTACGGCGGCCGTTTCCACCTTATGCAACGGTTTACTATCAACCGAATTGCAATAATGCGTTATCCTCTGATATAATAATCTTCTATTTAAACGTCAGCTGATGTCATGGCTAAGAGATAAAAAATTCTATTCAATTAATGACTTCTTTACATATAATTCTCAATAAATTTGACCTCTTAACTTATTTGATAAGGAATGTATTTATATACTATTTATATTTTTTGATATCTTCATGACATGGTAATAACTTACTATTATACTATGTTATCTTTATATATAATAGGACTTGCTTTTTTATTGTTTAGCTGCCAAAATGTTGTAATATACAGATTTGCATGCCGATGGCGGTAAAATATGAGCACTGATGTATTATGTATACTTGTACCACGTATTGTGAACCATATTTTAAGCAAATAAATATCGTTCATTCATTGTCTCCAGCTTCCACCCTGTGGGGTTTTGCTCGACATATTTCGAACCGGTCCATGGTCCTTAACCCCCGACACTTCACGTCCTGAGATCCGAGCCTAGGGGCTCGCGTTGAAATGATTCGCGTTAAAATAATTTTCTTGAAGACTTCTTGAAATCTTTCCTCAATATGGTTGACTAACCTCCTAATTCCAATATTTCTGTTTTGTGACAAAAACAAGTTTTAATGTTCGGGGTTTTTACGTTGTTTAGTAGGTACTACAGTTAGAGTCAAAATTATGTAAACAGGCCAAAGTAACCAGAAATACAAGCATACAAAAGCCGTCGATTTTAGTCAAACGTTCAGAATGCTTGAAATATCTCTAGATTTAATATAAATCAACCATGTTGTAATCATTTTAAAGTGCACTTAAGATTTCAAATTTTAAACGATTAAAAAGTGTAGATACATTGAATTTTCGGGAATAAGTATCCTTATTGCCGAAAATTCAATGTATCTGCAAAATTTATCAATTTTGTTTAAAAGTACAATTTGTGAATTTTTCAGTGTTTTTTTACCTCGAGTGTATAACCAGAAATATCATTTAATTTGTTTGAAAACTATTCTGCCAAATCATTACGGCGACAACTGCGCTACGATTGACCAGCCCGAGTTTGAAACAATTGACGGGCGTCTTCAACTGTTTCACTCCATTTCGACAAGCTTAACTTGGGCTTTGCTATAATGGACGAAAATTGAAAAATTACATAATATAATATTTAATTACCGATGAAATGTGATTCCGTTTGTTTTGTAATAAGATATTTTGCTGTGTTTCCCACACCACCGAATGGAACAGCCCTCATAGTTAGAAACATTTATCTTTATTATAATAAATACATAATATTTTTGGAATTTAGGGAGACGAACCCACATGTTGGCGCTGTACTATTTCAGCTTTCTAATTTGTGATTTCAGCGCAAACGAGAGTTGATATTTAAAAGTGATACTGAGTACCACTAGACTGATTAGTTGCCAGGTATGGATGGTCTTATTTCGCTTCTATTTCTGGTTATATACTCAACGTGTTTTTGTAATATCAAGTGACTTCACGAACAAGTGCGCCTGATGGTAAGCTACACAGCTGTCCATAACAATTGCAGTGCCACTCAGAGCTTTTAATCGCACAGCTATGAGAGGCACTGCAACTGCGCCCGTCACCCTGAGACATAAGTTGGCGAGTCCCTTATTATATTAAATTAATTATTATGTATATATTTAAGTTCATTATTATATTATTTTCTTATTAGGTACCTATATATAAAAATTTTCCATTTCGAATGTTTCCATACATAATTTTGATGCTGAATGTCCTGATATAATCGCATTTGAAGATTCAAAGTGCACTCAGCCACAGACTAAACTAAACAAATACTTCTTTTGTCTTTTTTTTATAATACAGAAGTGGCGGGACAGATTTAATTTTTATACATTTTCATTGCTGCAGAACATGATAAGTTATATTAAAAGTGGCAGAGTTTGGCAGATTTGGGAATATTCGGGAAGTTCTATATTACTTTCAGGAATAAACTGAAAAGTTGTTGTTTTCTGCGACTATGAACAAACGCCTCCGGAATACAGGACAATGTTATAAATATAACCTATCTCAACTTTATAACCCCAGCTTTTACAGCCTGTACTCAATTAGCTTTTTTAATGCGTTGATAATGAATCGTAAGTATTGGTAGGTCTCCTTAACGCACATTGTCAAAAACACTGGGTCACAAAATACACGGGATGTCACCATTCTTCTTTCAATATAATCTCAGAACAGAGTATTAAAATATTTGCCATGTTTTATTGAAATCGGTTACCGGAAAGTGCGCGAAACCGGATTAATCCCCTATGTGTGTCTCCTATTTTCTTCAAATGTAAATGGTACCCTATTTCCAACCAATAAGAATCATCAAAATCGGTTCACAAACTTTTTTAGAGTTATCGGAGTTTATTATTAACATACATCCAAAAAAAAACATACAGTCGAATTGAGAACCCTCTTTTTTGAAGTCGGTTAAAAATAAATTACTCAACGTAGCCATACAACTTTGCCAGACATTATATAATTCAGAATAGCTGCTAGCGACTTAACTTTTAACACTTAAGATTTAAATAAAATGTTAGTTTGAAAGAGATCGTCCAGGGAAGTAATGCCACCTTACTTATTTCTGCCGCCAAGCAGTAATGTTAGCATTACTGTGGTTCCGGTTTTGAAGGGTGCTCGTGAAATTACAAGCACATGGAACTTGTCGACTTATGTCCAGGGTGACGGGCGCAGTGGCAGTGCCCCTCAGATCTTTGTGATTTAAAGCTCTGAGTAGCACTGCAACTGTTATGGACAGGCGAGTAGCTTACCATCAGGCGCACGACTTGTTCGTCCCGTCACTTGATATTATAAAAAAAAATTCAAATCGATGTCGCTAGTTACTAAAACGGTCCAAAGTATAAAATGTCAAGCATGATATGCTCTTGACTGTACATACGATTATACGTTTAAAGTGTTCAAAGAATGGGAAATACGCTTACCACGAGCAAGCAACATTTTATGTATTTTATTTTTATGTAATGATATTTAGGCTTATATTTATCGATTATTATTATTTAAAATTATTCTAGTAAGTACTAAAATGTTTCGTCCTTTGGGACAGGCTAAGGTGTTTATTGGCCAGACTGCCAGAGCTTAGATTGTAATTTTTCTTCAATAGTTTAATTTTCGGCCACATTTTCGCGGGTAATCGATAAATTATTTATTATATTATTATTATTAATTTGTTGAGCATTGGATAATGAGCCAAAAGCTTAAAAAGGTAACAGATGATTAAGAAACTCACAACGTATTAAATAATATACTTCAAATTAATTCGTATAAAAACTGTAACTACAAAAACTCGCCACTTTTTTTGAAAATCGGTAAAGGCATGTTTACGGTCGGCGACTATTTTGAAACCAATTAATATTTTTTTTAGTATTATTTGCGTTTATAATTCA